TATGTGTATAGCCAGTTTTTTACATTGCTCCTACACAATGGGAAATGCAAGGTATAAGATAACTATTATTTACGTGTGAATGGCAACTATGATGACCTTACACCGATGAATCGAGTTACAGGCACATGGCCGTGATCGTACACAAGCATTTTGACAACTTGGAACAATAGTATACCCTTCAACCCCTTTAAAATTGATGACTTCGTTACAAATGACTTTTGAATAGTTTGAGTAACAATTGATTTTCAAAAGAAATTAGCTTCTGCCCGCGATTTCGTAAGCGCAATCCCGTTTTTGTTCCCGTTCGTAATTTTCGGTGGAAAGTAAAGAAACAAAAAGTGTTGGGTAAAAAGTGTCATAATATGTCCGTCTCCTGGTTGTAAGCAACCTCTTCACTATTTGTATCCCATATATAGATAGATTGTCCTCGATATTATAAACAACGGCAACATATATTATCTAAAGTTTACGATCAAAAGTCTTTCAAAGATTTTATACTATTATAATACAAAAATCCATCCATCCATCTTAATCGAATTTTTATTGAAATATGCACTTACACGTTGTCTCTGTTTTACCGAAAGTTTAATAAAGAATTCATGTCCACCTTGTGCATAAAGAATTTTAAAATAAAACTTAAATGAAGTAATTCCAATGAAACACAGGTTTCCTTTTTTATTTTAATTTATGCTGTGCGAGAATGTAACCTGCACCACACCCAGCCTCCATGCCACCTAAACATTTTATGATATTTCCTTAAAACCATTATATCGATGGGGTTTTATGAAACCAAAATTTAAATAAAATTTACTTTTCCCATCAATCAGTAAAGCTGTTTCCACACAAAGTAATTATAGACTACTGACTATTATAGAATAAAAATGATAATTGCTTTGCAATAGAATCTCGAATCAGTCTTACGTAAAGCCTGTCTGACTAAACCTGTAGCTTCTGGTTAACATTCCGAACTAACGCACAGCTAAATATGTACCCATTAAGTGTGTAACTCAGTTACTAGACAATTATGTGCAAGTTTTAACTTATATTATGTTTAACTAAATTTTATTTATTAACTCTATAATGCATACTAAAATAAGGTACATAAGGCGGACTAATGCCATTAGGCATTTTCTCCCAGTTAACCTTTGGTTTAAATAGAGAATCAGCAAAAATAAGCTTGTGTAATTTGCAGTAAAATAAAACAAGATAGATATATAAAATATATGAATAGATAAAGAAATGTAAACTCGTGACAAATTCGGAAGAACTGTTTAAAAATGTTTGTCCAACACTAGAATTATCTCCTATGTGTGATCTTCATAGTTTCAGATTATTTTCCAATCGTCGAAAATAACAGTACATATCTAAAGGTTAATAAAATCACCGCTTGCTTCTTGGACCTACCATTTAGTCTTCTCTGCATCACTGAAAGGTCAGACTGGGAGTAAATGCTTGCGGCATTATGTCCACAATTGTACATCAAGTGCATGAAGCATAATATATCTATTAAATAATAGAGTAATGATCGTTCTTAAAACATTTTACGATCACAAATATCTAGATCTTCAAAATTGAAATAACATTCATCTCAAGATGTGTGCACGCTAATATTACTCGAAATTTCATCTAGCCTGACATTTTTATTAGTTTAACGACTGTCTTTAAATCATTTTACGTAATACAAGCAATTGCTGGTAGCACTTGGGTAATTATTAGACATAATGTGTACATTAATTTCTGGGATTACAATTTGCGTAATCTTTTACACGGAAACTCCCTATCTATGTGCAGAGAAAGTACTTCGTTAATTTACTTCTAAATTCTGTTTGCATTTGTTGCAGCGGTCTCCGTTCCTAAGTGAGATTTCATCGTCACAGATTAGACTTGACGCTTGGGTACTATTTATAGAATGTTTGTTTCGATTGAAATCTGGTGTATGTGTTTATAAATAGACTCAATAGAATTTTTTTTAATAATAGGGTTCTATTGTTATTTCTGATTATCAAATTCCTACATTTTTATTTTCTTTTCTGTCTGTATTGTATGTTTATACTGCCAGGAAGTCAATTAGGAATTATTATCTGTAGGTACTCGCTTTAGCAATCGATTTTAACTTAGAAAACTATTTTATATAAACTTTATTATTACTCAAGTCGTAAACTAATTTAAAAGTGAATTTGAGTGTTTTATTATAGTGATTCAATAAAATGTTTAAAATTAGATAATCCATAGGGCAATATAAAAATAGTTATAGAAATTAATAACCAATTTATTTTCTAAACTCGCATAACAAACAGAGAAATCGCAAAACAAATCTAGTGAAATTCCACAGTCGAGTCGATTTTACTCGACACTACGATTGTGTCGATTAAATTATTAACCAGTTTGTTACCCAATCCGGACTCAGATAAATTCTTCGCCTTCAGTAAAAGTGACTAATTTTGACTATTACGTATGACTTATGGAAATATATCTAGTCATAATATATTACGAAACGCATATCACGTACATTAATTAGGCTGTATCACATTAACACCGGCTTTCTTGCATCTCATTTAAAAAAGAAAAGTTAATACCTTCATTCAACATTTGTAAATTAAAATTAAAATAGACTTACCATTTTAAATATCGTATAAAACCAACTCGTCCTGTCAAAGTTCCCCATCCTTGTAAAATGTAAGAACACAAAGAATCTATCGATTGTACTTTGTAACACTACTGTTATTCACATTATTCACAACATCACATGCGAAGTAGATCCGATGCACATTAATAAAAAACTATATTGACACTGGCCGTGAACACGCGATTTAAAAAAGTTATGAAAAGTCGCGTTCGAAATTCAAGTTTTGGCGGGAAGCGTCAACTCGCGCGGGCTGCGCGCCACAGACTGCCAACATGGCCGCCGATTTTTTTGACGGTTCACACGAGTCGATTCACTTTCTACGACCTTACGGCGTACCTATGCGACTCGTAATTAAGCATAAAGATTTACGTAACACTCCGATGTAACCCATGTCAAAATATGATTTCCGCGAATATTCATATTTTAGGACACCTGACAGCGAGCATGCAAAAGTGTTAAAGATTTTTAGGTCTGTTTCCTCAAAATTAAAAAATTGAGGGTATATTAGGGTTATAAAATGTTGTGAATGAGTTTCACGTTTCACGGTTATACCAAGATAGATTGATTATAAATTCAGATGTTATACAATATTCATATAAAATTCTAGTCTTCAAAAATGTTCTACACTTAGAACGCAACGGTGCCTACAAAATATGCAATACGCAAATAACTCGCCTATTTCAGACATATACATTAAGAAATAGGCTCAGTGCAGTTTATAAATTCCTTAGTTCAGATCAGAGTCACACTTTTACAATATGATAACTAGATCTCGACCTTATTATTAATGAGTATTGGTCCGGTTTGTCTGACCTTCAGCCTAGATCGAATACTCTCTGGTGAGCTGCCCGGGCTGCCATCCAAAACTAACCTTTATAACTTGATAATGATATACGATATAAGTATATTAAACGCACATAGTGATATATAAATTGAAAAATACTAAAACCGTGTGGTAATCTCAGAGTAGAATTTTGTCGATATGTGGGTGTCATAGAAGTCAAATTAAATTATTAAGGACAGAGACGAGTCTACGTGCATTGTAATAAATCCGAACTTTTTGAATTCTGGTTAAATACAAGTCCAGAGTAAACAAGACAAGCTATACATACGGATAAGCTATGGACTTTAGTGTACCTATAATAGGAAGTTACTACCAGACTTCGCCTGTAATACAGGGCTTTCCTAGTACAGACATCTAACTGTATAAGGTCTACATCGCTTATTAAGATAGTATTTTGCTCATTTTATCATCAATAAAGATTTATTAATTATTTTTTAGATACCCGACTGAATCTGTATAAACTAATGTCCCGTTTTGAGTGATCATTTATTTTTTATAAATGATCACGTTACTTATAACTCATAATATGAGCAACTGCTTTACGATAATGATAATAATAAGTAAGGAATACCTACTTACTCGTTTACCCAGGTCTTATGTAAGACAAGCCAAGCCGGGCCCATAACCATCCATTGGTTACCACTTCACACTCCTTGTTGTTGCTACTACAATCAATTTCGAAATGGAAAATCCCAGTTTTTGCTTCATCACAATCATCAACAACACATTTAATTTAATTGATATAGTGTTCTCGACTCAACGCATGCTGTGATGTCCTTCAAATGTTGTGCATTAGCAGTAAGATGTTAATTCCTAATTTTAAGTTAATGATAAAAATGTAGCAACAACTGGATGTCCAAATAAATTTTTATTTTATTTTATTTTTTATTTTATTTTTACATTTAGAAAACTTACAGCTAGAATTGACAATTATATATAACTATGACTAAATTATGGCCAATTACAAGTTTTCGCATATATTTGTTAAGTATTTAAAAAAAAAAAAAATATTTTGACTTGCCGACAGTAGTTATTAAATTAAAACCTTCAGCCACTCACATTTTTTCCACTCAATATGTCAGCAAGCAATACAAAGAAAGAAAAATAATAATAAAAAGCGGTTACCACTACATCTATGACAATATGAACCAAGATAAAAAAAAAACAAACAAAAGAAGCATTAACGAAAAGTTTTTTTTTTTATATGCTGCTAACTAAGGACGCACAGGCACATCAGAACCGATCCAACCGACTACTTACGATGTGTGAAAAAGTGGTTACACATCACCCTCTTTAATTTCGTCCCACTGATGTTAAATAGATCTATGTCAATCTCCCTACAAACTGCATTAAGCGTGTGACAAGCCCTGACTATAAATGAATTCTGCCGATAAATGCTTAGAGTGGCAGGAGTATGGAGAAGATTATGCCTTCTCAACAATGCAGAAGGTACGCGCAAGCCAACTTTGCTCACTAGCCCGGATACGTCCACCAATCCACTCAACACTTTATGTAGAAAGGAAATGTCCGCTATTTTCCTTCGCTCCTGCAGTGGAAGCAAGTGAAACCTTCGGCAGCGGCTAAAATAATCAGGCAAATATGTACCAGTATGATGTTGAATATACCTTAGGAACTTCTTCTGGACGTTTTCTATACGATTTATGTAGGTATCATAGTTGGGGTTCCATACTTGTGAAGCGTATTCAAGATGACTGCGAACGTAAGAACAATATAATATTTTTATTGTTTTGATGTTCTTAAAATCTTTGGACACCCTTAAAACAAACCCTAACGCTTTATTTGCCTTATCAATTGCGTTAGAAATGTGTGCATCGAATAACAATTTGGAGTCGAATGTTATTCCTAGGTCCCTGACGGAACTAACTCTAGCTATCGTGGCACCAGACAGTGTGTATTGACATGTTACTGGGTTAGGCTTACGTGTAAAAGTACAGACGTAGCATTTGGATACGTTCAGATCCAACTTGTTTCTAGTGCAGTACGCCTGAAACCGATCGAGATCATCCTGCAAGTTAACTGTGTCGTCAAGAGAGCATATTTTATGTAGTATTTTCATGTCGTCTGCGTATAGTAATATTTTAGATGACTGAAAACATGATGTGACGTCATTTATAAATATGTTGAAAAGTAATGGCCCTAACAAGGATCCTTGTGGGACTCCTGAAGGAATGTCTGTCGTCCTCGTTGACGAGTAACCATTGAGAACAACAATCTGACTCCTATTTTCAATGTATGATGAGAACCATCTAAACAAGTCACCACGTATGCCCATTCTCAACATTTTATTTTTTAGTATGAGATGATCTATCCGATCGAAACACTTGCAATAGTCAGTGTATACGACATCCACCTGAAAACGATGTGACATGTGCTCTGACAAGAAGTCACTACAGACGATAAGATTTGATGTAGTGGAGCGACCATTTAGAAAACCATGCTGGTGCTCGCTAAAATTGAGTTTAACAGCTGAATATACCTGCTTGTATATAATTTTTTCGAGTATTTTAGCGAACACACACAACTTTGAGATTGGCCTATAGTTCTCCACCTCGTCCCTCGGACCTTTTTTATGTATTGGAGTTACATATGCCGACTTCCAAATCGCAGGCATAGTTCCTTCTGTTAAAGATCGTCTGAACAAGATAGAAATAGGGAGGGTTAAAGATTTCGCACAATTAAGTATGAAGATTGGTGGGAAATTGTCAGGTCCTGCGGATTTGTTAAGGTCGACCCGTTTTAATAACTTGAACACTTCAGAACTTTGAATTTCAATCGAGGCAATATCCGATCTGTCGTCATAAATATTTACAGATGTTTCAAAATCCTGCATGTCGAGCTTAGTATGCGCGTCTTGGAGATCGGGGGGTACAAAGTTAGAGTAAAAGTAATCAGAAAATATGTTGCATATGTCCTCCCCGGTCCCAAACGATTGCTCCTTGTATTTAAATATTGAGGGGTAAGAGTGCGATTGTTTCTTAGACTTGACATATCGCCAAAATGCCCGCGGATTCTTTGTAATACCTGATTCCACACCCGCAATGTAGCTGTTAAACATGTCCCTCTCTAAGTCTTTGGCACGCTGTCGTAAAGTAGTGAAAGATAATTGATCAGATAAATTACCATATTTTTTGAATTTCCGGTGTGATTTAGCTTTTTCTCGAAGAATTTTGATTAACGGTTTTTTATACCAGGGAGGATATCTTACAGGTGTCACAGTGAGTCGGTGCGGGACGTGGATATTTCTAACTTTGTTTAGTATGTCGTAGAAAAATAATACAGCGTCATCAAGAGAGCCGCCATGTAACTCTTTGTGCCAGTCATAACCATCCAACTCCTCAGCAATAGCAGTGTAGTTAGCCTGTCGGTAGTTGTAGCTTACTATAGGCTTTGCGGGTAGTTTATGTGGTTGCATGAAATTGGTAGATAATAAGATGGCTTTGTGGTGCGGGTCCTCAGGAACTAGTGGATCACAACAGTGATCGACTCTGACTTCGCTGTTAGACAGCACCCAGTCCAATATTCTGCCGTTATTGTTACGAAGATGATTATATTGTGACAAATTGCAAACTGTAAGAGTATCTATAAGATTTAATTGGCTTTTGCCTTGGATATTGAGAGGTGACATAGTGCTATGGCTCGAAGGTAACCAGTCTATGTATGGTTGGTTAAAATCTCCTAAGACTAGAAATTTATCCGCAGGGTTTTCGAGGACAATGTTCATCAAGTTGCTCGAAAAGCAAGCGAGTTGTTCAGTTAAAGAATTGCCCAAATTTTGGGTGCAGATAATAAAAGTGCAGTAAATAAATAAATAAACAGCCTATAAATGCCCACTGCTGAGCAAAGCCTCTTCTAACACTGAGAAGGTTTGAGCATTAATCACCACGCTTGCTCAATGCGGGTTGGCGATTACAAACTTATAATTAGAAAATTTAAGCTAAGGTTTCCTCACGATCTTTTCCTTTACCGTTTGTCAGTGGCATCTAGATAATCTTAGAAAGTACATATAACTCGGAAAAGTCACATTGGTACTTGCCGTTGGTAGGTTTCGAACCAACAATCTCATGCATGAGAAACGGGCGTCTTAAACCTCAGGGCCACCACGACAGTTGTAGCATAGTACCTACCTATTTAGTATACAGTAAATACTTTTCCTCACAAAAGTCGTGACCTCTAACAAAGAACTTTGGTGATTCGCACCATTTTCCTCGATCTTCTGTTGTGTGGATGATTTCGCTGAAATTAATGCAAATTTTTACGCTATATAGGTATAACTGATGTTAACAGTTACCGTAGCCTGAGTAAACTTGCAACACCAATGGTGGAAAATGTTTAATGATGTAAGAAATTATTGTTATCTACAAGACTTGCTTTGTAGACCTAATTATGTACCTAATTATGTACTATACTTAATCAATGTCGCGGAGAACCTGACGGATTACCGGGGCTCCGGCTAGATGTGCAGGAGAAGGAACGGGGTGGTTTTTAGTCAGTAAGAGTCTGACACCCCTCCCACCTCAACCAGGCGGGAGAGAAATTCGAAGATTTTTCCCCCCTTAAAAAAATACTTAATCAATCAAACGGGGCGGAAACTATTTCAGGTAGCAGTAACGTAAATGGTAACTACATCATCCTTCTTGATTCCCAAATTCATTTCTGTTCCAGCGAACATTCTAGCTGAAACATATTTTTGTGGAAGTTTTTTCGTAAGGCGCGCCAGTCTGACTACATTCCAGCCTTTGAGGAACCGGTCACGTATGATCTAGGACATGTTGAAGGCTCGTGGACTCGTGTGTGACAGAGAAGGGCAGGCCAGAGACCAAAATTAAGTATGTAGCTTTATAAAATAACTAAATAAGTGCAGACAACTACAAATCAACATGCCAAATGAGAACAGTCTTTAATAAATTCGTGATAAAATTCAAAATCGCAATGTGGTTGACAGGTTTGGTGTAGTTTTAATATACGTGTCAGTAACACCTAGTCGGTTGGTATTCGCTCGTGAACAAATAGGTTTCCTGTAACTATAAGAGCACGGAAGTCATGAAATTGAGGAGGAAGTCATGTTTTAATGCAACTGTAGTATTTTTAAAAAGGCGACTTGTGACAATAAATTTTATTAAAATGTTTATACTTAATGACAAGATAAACCTACAACGAAAATAGAACTTGACAATAGGGTAGATGCCTAAATTTTAATTTAATGTCCGTCTGGTAGATTATTTTAAATCATTAAACACGTATTTTTCATTTTCTTACAGAAACGAATACTTTTGACGATATATTGGTTTAAAATGGCGCGTGACGTCACTTCTATCTACATTTTATACGTAGAAATGACGTTTTAGCTCCAACTCCTAAAGATTCGTTTTATCGAAGTATTGTTTTATATTACGACAAAATAAAAAAATACGTATCTAATATTTTTTCATTAGGTACCTAACTTACAGACTAATTATATTTTTAATTTTCATACCCTGTCATCATCCCAATTAAACTCCAGGTTCCTTATTCGATCGAGAATAAGATAGATCAACTGTATACCTACATAGGTATACATAGGTATCTTTGGATTGGAAACAAAGTACAATAAATTATAAATAAGTACATTAGATAACGATAAACCACGGTTGGTAATTGTGAAGTATTTCTCGAAACGAATGATTGATTTCATAATGTGTTGCCGAGTTCGATGACTTGCTCAGAATTTCTTGTGATCAACAGTCGCGTCACGGGCGTCGAGACAAACACGGCGATGCCACGCAATTGAAAGAACGCAGAAGATACAATTTGAGCAATTTAACTCGTCGAGTACCGGTTTTGTAGACACAATTATAGAACAATAGGTTGCGGTCACCGGTGACCGCTTGGTATTTGACAGTTTAAATAATAAACTGCTGCAATGTTAGTAATTTAAAAATTCTGAGTGTACCTATGTTGTTTTGTTTTTGGGTGAAAATTCCCTGAATGATGTGGTGTGTCAGTCTCTTACTGGCTAAAACCCACCACTACTCGACAGGAGTAAGCCTTTGATAATTGATATTGCAGGACAACAATAAGGGCCCAAAATAATAAATGTTGCATACAAATGGTTCGCCATCCCTGGATTAGTCTGTCTCAGTTTATACGTACTTCCTTTTCCATGAAGCTTCTGTACTTTATTACTCGATGGCAATTCTCTTTGTGCTGCGCCTACTCCGTGTGCAGAATACGACGCCCAAGGAAAGTTTATTTGTCAATGAAATTACTAAAAAAGTGTCCGGTGAAATTTCCTTCTTACTTTTTCGTTGCAAGATATTTTGTAACTGATTTTAAAAGAAAGCTTTACAATGCGTAGGCACCTATGTATCATGTATTTACTATATTATTATTATATTTGGTATGATTGAATTGTTAGTAAGTGGATGGTACGAATGAACCAGAAGATAAAACAAAGATTAGTGAAATGGTATTATCCATCCTTAGGCCATATGAATGTGAATTGTTAGTAAACAAACCATTAACGGTTCTATCCAATTGCTGACTCAATCACACACACAGAAAAGGGCATTTTAGATGGATTAGATATCGCTTTACTGTTTACAAACATTTCACGTCGGTCTTAGCCTAAATATTGCCTGATACAGTAAATAATGAGTGCGTTTAACGCCATGAGTAGGTAGGTATGGGGGATGACATAACTGTTAGTGTCTGAGACACAATGGAGGGGAATTTTCCGTAAAGTTTTCAAAAATAATCTCATAAAGCGGAAGAGTTTTTTTGTTTGTTTGTTTGTTTGTTTGAACGCGATAATCTCCGTAACTACAAGTCTGATTTGAATAATTCTTTTTGTGTTGGATAGTGCATTTATCGAGGATAGCTATAGGCTATAAAACATCACGCTACGACGAATAGGAGCTGAGCAAAGCGTGTGAAACCGCGCTGAAGAAGCTAGTGTGGTATATAGCGAAGACATCGACCACCAGCGAGTGATGTAACCATAGGGAGACAACTTGGCAAAATGCCACGGATCCCCAGCTGGAAGGGGCCCCTGTTCAGATGTTTTCATCTAAACTTTTATGTTTTTTATTGAAAACCATCTGATGAATTTTCCACGGGCCCCAAACGGTATGGTTAGTTAGCCCCACCAGTTGCACTACGTGAGCATGTTTTAACTACATAGTCCATACCTTCCACTCTTTCAATACTCTTATTATTAGTTTAGGTAGGTACTAGACTACCTATTCTATTCTATGAAGATAAGATCACGAAGATGCACTTAACTATTTTTTGTGGGTAGACCTTTACATAGATAAGTGCTGAGAAGGGTAACTGGGCCTCCGGTAACCTCACTCACACGACGAAACAGAACGCAAGCGTTGCTTCACGTCGGTCTTCAGTGAGGCCGTGGTATCACTCCGGTCGAGTAGGCCCATTCGTGCCGAAGCATGAATCCCAGACTTGTATAAATGACAGTACCAAATTGAATAAATCTTTTCATGTTTTCCTTATTGTCAGGAAAAGATTTATGTGAAAAAATATGCAACAGCGCGTACAAAGTTGCGGGCAGCACCTTTAGGTACCTATAGGTAAAATTAATATATTTATGATTCTGCTTACTAATTATGATTCTCTAATGAATGTCCCTACATCGGCCTGATGTCCTACGACCGGACGCTGAATGGGACATCAAACAAACTCCGCGACGGAAACGGATATTGTAGCTGTTATTGCAATGGCTGATGTTGACTGTCAAGACACGTTTTACATTAATTTCGCATTAGAATGCAAAATTTTATTTTTTATACATGCATTCTTTATAAAATGACGCACACTCTACCAGTGTCGTGAGCTTTTATGATATCTATTCATACTTATATATATATATAAGCATTACCTACTACCTACCCAACTCGATAAAATTTATACTAAGCGCTTATACAATTATACATTTGTTTTTTTAATCTTGCAGAGCCTATCATCAATCTTTAGTGTTAATTTTCATTCAAGTACAAATGGCATTTCGTATAGGTAATAAATGCTAAAACAAGGTGAAAAATTGAAATAAATGATTTTTACTTTGACTTTAGGTATAACCACAATGTTAATATCAACGTCACAAAACTCGTACACATATTGCTGCCTACTCCTTCGTTTAACCCGTTAAAAATTGTTGAAAATCATCCCCTAAATTTTTTCATACAAAAGTAGTCTCATAACTTTGGAAATAAGGTCTATAATGTAGTTAGAGGAGAGCGCCAGAACGGTTAATAATTATGTGCGTAATATTTTTTAGAAAGAGGTATGTAAGAATCGTAGTAATTGGCGTTCCTTAGTCTCTGCCTACCCCCATGGGAGACAGGCGTGAAGCTAAGTATGTATGTACGTATATTTTTTAGATTTGATGTAGCCAGCGCCATCTATTGTTATCGTAGTAAAAACTAGTCGTGGATAGTTCAGTACTGCCATATAAAATTAATAATAACCAGTTTAACTTTTAAATAAAATTAATAAGTTTAATTTGATTAAACTAGAACTAATTTAACTTAAAAGGTATAGCGATATCAATTGAATAATGTATAAATAAAAATTTTTCAGACTAACTCAGTGACCTATTAACGATCAAGGCGTTAACAAGCATTTCTTACTTGCAACATCGAAAGCAAGTGTCAAAAAAGTGATATCGCCGTGTACGGACGGCTGTTTATTAATTTTTAATAAAATTATGAAAATAAACGAAACATTGCCAATCAGACATCAATTACACTAATATTCTCATTATAAAGCATTGAAATGGTGTGAAAAGTGTTTTGTATCTGTGAAGGGGAACGAGATAATCGAGCAAAATGGCAAAGTAAGTGAGAAATTAATTCTTCTAAGATTTTAAGTGGATTATTGGATAGTAACTCGATACAAAAGTGTCGCCTACGCGATGTTGCGGTTGATTAGACACGGCTGATGAAATCTCCGGTTACTGATGTGATAACTGCACAATAATATTATGGAAACTAATCTTGTGTCTATTTTTCTATGTTTAATGTTTTCAAAACTGCTTAGCTCGTGCAATTGGAAGTGTCGTAATAATATTTTCGGGTCAAGGAGATTTAGAAATTCTTTTAAAGTATGTTTTGATACAAGCAATGAAATCCCAAAAATTCTATAGTAAAATAAAACTATTTGTAGGTACAGAAATTGTGCTACATAATTATATTGTTATCATATCAATAAACCATTATTGCTAAATATAGAACAAATGTACCAACAAAATGATTGAAAAATTTTCAGTTTATTATTAAACACATTTTTGGTTAATTAAAAATTTTATGTAGTTGCAATATCCAATGAAAATTAATCCATAGCCCATTCAAATATAAACATTGCTTTATAAAAAGAAAAATAAACGATCACAGTATTTATCAACTATGTTTATGATCATAGATAAAAAATGAACAGCTAACATAAACACACATGTTTTGTTTTTCTCAGGGAGATGATGATAGTGTTTGTCTATGACACTTTGTGCTGCACTTCAGAGGAGGACGACCCTATTGATGCAGTGCTGTACTTCCATCCTGGATGGGTGTCTGATACCCAGAGACATGCACTAGCGGGACAAGTAAGTTTACACTTAACATAAGTCCATTAAGGGATAGCATAACACCCACATTTTATCAGTTTTGTTAGGTGTCCCATGTAATAGGAGGGTGAGCCTGTTGCCCTACACAAAGAACAACACCATAGGTACTTTGTACTAGTACTGAGAAATGTTTATCTATGAAACCTATTTTATTTGTTTTTAACTGATTTTATATAATTATATTTTTAACTGACCAATCCCCAAGCGGTCACCAGTGACTGCTCTCCTCCAACTACATTATAGATCTTATTTCTGACGTGTAGAGACTATTTTTGTATGAACAAATTTTGGGGATTTATAATCAGGTGATTTGGTATTTAATTATAGCATTGTTTTTATAATAACTATCATGAGACATACTTTATTAACTAAAACTCGTGGGTTACTCACGTCAATATACTGAGAAAAGCTCTACTAGTTTCGAACCACAGAGGAGTTCTTCCTCATGAGCAGTGTCAAGCACCCTACTAGTACTCAAAGTACTCAATAACCTGAATGAATTTTGTTTTGATAAATACTGAATTTTAGTTAATTTATTATATTATTAAATACATAACCCCATGAAGGATTGGCATACTCTGGACAGCCGGAATATAGCTAGCTAGCTTATTGTGTACAAGTTAAATACTAAACAAAAAAAAAAATTTTTTTGTCACTTATATTGTCACTTAGGTGAGGTGATTATTAAAGAAGAGATCAGTTATGAACTACAAAATCCGATGATTTTGTAGTTTAGTACAAATATAGTCTTATTTGCAGAACCAGTCTGAATACTGATATCAATAAAATAAATTGATAATATTTTATTTAGTTTTTGATAAGATATATTGGCTTGGCAAAATTAATAATAACTATTAAATGTCATTTTAGGGAAATAGACAATTGATTTTTAAATGTAGTACTTAAAATGAGTCTTATCTGTTTGGCTGTGACCTAAATTCAACCACTGAAGTGCTAATAAAAGTTTGATAAGTATAAAATGCCATTCATTAATGACTTGAAGAAATTAAATTTACTTGTCGTCAATAAAAATTCAGCCATTTTTGTAGTTCATAATTGAAACACATACATCTTTGTTTGATGGTATTTTGTCTCATAAAAACAGATCTGCATAACATTGGCCTTTTTTTATTCACCTAAATTGTTTTGAACCTAGTACAGAATGTAATAAGTTTCTAAAGAAATAATGAAGCCAAATGATGTCGAATGTGTAACGAATATAGTAATAGGTTTATCTTATTAATTTATTAGCAAGATAAATCACCAATTAGCGTTAATGTATGGATTCATTCACGATGTTCACGTGTGTTCACGATGCCGGCGCGCCCGTCAATATAAAGTTTAATGGCATCAAAGTTCGCTTTAACCCACCTGGACAGCATTCGTAAAGAAATTATGGGTTATAATATTAATATAGTTATCTTCCTGTAACAGTATACAAGACGATAATGGAAAACTGATTTTCTAAAATCAATTATTACATGAGTCATGTTAATGTCTATTTAATTTACCTAGTTATTTAATTAATCTATGTAGAACACTTATTGAGGTACTCTAAGTACCTATTTCATTCGTACGTATTAATATATGAATGGCATTAGGCTGTCCCATATGGAACTCAAATGTTAACAACATGAAAAATTGAAAATTCCATCTCTACCTTCTCCTTCGTATATTTAAAAAAGTAATGTTGCGTATGTTATGTTTTTATCTGTTCCTATAAATATTTTTTTCATTTATTTTAGTCATGAACAAAGTAATCTGCAAACCTTTTTTTAATACCTATCGGGAGACATACTGAATTAACTAAAAATATCGGTTTACTCACGTCAAAATTAATATACTGAGAATAGCTCTACTAGTTTCGAGTCACAGAGGGACTCTTCTAGTACTAGTATAACTTTCATAGTATATTTACGCAAGTAAAGCGTTATTCTTAGTTAATTACTAAATCCTTGAACTGGTCAAATCCACATCACCTTATAAATCTGCCATATAAAGCCTAAAAAAGTGTAATAACGGTCGGTAGGTACCATGGAGTGTGGTTAGAAAGTTCGTCATAATCTGTGCGGAATGTCCACCGGACAACCTGCTCGAAACATCGGTTATGTGAGCGCACATAGTTCCGAAACTTGTTCACCCGCCTCATGTTATGTAGACAGCCTGTTGTAATTTAATTATTTGTTGCGAAATTCTATTTGTTGAGGCTAATTCTATTCTCTCGTGTAAGTTGACGTCAAGGTTAGCAGGAGTCAGACGTAATGTAAATCATTTTTGTCTATCTAGTCTAGATGTTGTGCATTCGATTTTTAAGTCATGACAAATTATTTTGTGGTTCACAATTTTTAAAACAATGACAGGTTATATTAGAAACAAATTACTAGATAGGGGCTATCGTTGATCTAGTAGTGGAATGGGAACAAGCGCAGCTACCATGCAAGGGCTCTTGAGTTTAATTTCCGAAGCGGGCAAAGCCGTTATTGTACCTGGTGTATTTTTTATGGAAGAATCCGGTAAACGAGTAGACGGATCACCTGATGGTAAGCCATCGGCGTCACCCAAGGACACCCGGAACACCAAACGCGTTAGAAGTGCGTTACCGGCCTTTTGGGGATTAGGAGTTTGAGGAAATTTGGGGACTCAGGGATTGGGGAGATTGAGGAGAGGGGGAGGGGTAATTACACAACGCAAATAATAATAATAAAAGTAAATGAAAGTCGCATGGAACTCATATTTAGGTAGGTATGTAAAAAGTATACACATCTGCCCCCCTCCCCCCCATGTTAGTATTAGTTTAAAATAATAATATCTATACTTATAATAAACCTGTAGGGAGGTCAATTCTGTACATAAAATATATTTAAAAAATAACTATCAAGGGGTGGTTAGGGATCGCTACAGATGCCAAAAATGCAATCAGTAAAATTTTTGTCTGTCTGTCTGTCTGTCTGTCTGTATGTTCGTTATGGAAACAAAAACTACTCGACGGATTTTAACGAAATTTGGCACAATTATTCTTCATACTCTTGGGCAGGTTATAGTATACTTTTCATTACGCTACGATCAATAGGAGCAGAGCAGTGAAGGGAAATATTGGGAAAACGGGAGAAGTTACTCCATTTTATAATAAAAATTCGGAACAGAGGTAGAGTATGGTGTGATGTACATGTAATACATTGGCATTTTCCCCCTGGGATCGCGGGCGAAGCTGCTGGCAGAAGCTAGTCTATCATATACGCGGAAATATAAAGTAGAATTTATAATGAGTCATTATGTACCTATTTAAAATGTCGACTTAATGGACGAATCAACAGGTCAAGCAACTTATTTATAGATCATGTCACGACACTCGTTTTTTATCTTTTCTAAGAAACACAACAGATTGACTTGTTGTTTTTTAAACTAAGACTAGTTTCGAATTAAAATAGCAAAAATAATACAAAATATGTAATAATGTTTGCACATTGTTGTTTTTAATTAATAAAATATGTATAGTGGTAACTCACAACTAGCTACTTCCACGCGGTTCCACTCGCTGCTCGGCTCCTATCGATCGTAACGTGGTATTCTACAGCCCATAGCGTTCCTCGATAAATAGACTAATCATAATCATAACATCACGCTTTTCATCCCCGAAGGGGTAGGCAGAGGTGCACAGTTAACTTAATGCCACTGTACAATGTAACACCCACTTTTCACTATTTATGTTATGAGTTCCATGTAATAGGCGGTCAGCCTATTGCCATATTCCGGGCACAATTCCAAACTCCGAGACCCCTTGCCCAGCAGTCGCAATTGCAACCACTCGACCAACGAGATAAATAGACTATTCAACAAATAAATTAAAACAAAAAGAAACCCATGGCGGGTCGCACCGCAAAAAGCCGGAGCTCAGCTTAATACCTACTTTGCCGGGGCTCCGGCTCGAAGTGCAGGAGTAGGAACGGGGTGGTTTTTAGTCAATAAGAGTCTGACAATCCCTCCCGCCTCACCCGGGCTGAGAAGACATTGGATGATTTTCCCCAATGTCAAAAAAAAAAAAGCTACTGTGGCCCGGGCACGAAGGCTCGAGTTCAAAATAATTATTTTATTCGAAACAGTATTACCTGTTCATACAAAAATACTCTCGCTCTCTAAATCAATTCTATATTAACGCTGAATGAAGTAGATACCTACAGTCCTACGGTACTTTAAGTATCTACTATACCTACTTTACTTTGACTAAAGCCCGTATTTTCATCTGTCTCAAATGCCTAATGAATATTTTATCGCGTTGTCAAACTTCCAGAAACTGCTCAAGTTGACTCATTAATATTCATATTTCAATGTTTGTAAGGCTCTTGTTTTGCACCTAAAGAAATAAATTCATCAATAGTTAAATACTGTTTAAGTACGCAATACTTAAATCTATTCAAGACTTGCTACAACCAGAGGTTAGCGCGTCTAACCAATCAAACAGACCCTTCAGGGCGCGCTTACTCTTGAAACCAATCTCAATATAAATCCAATAAAATCTCAATAATTATTCAATGTCAAAACTATACAACCCCAATCACAGCTGAATAGCATTCAGAGGACGGAATATAAAGCCGAACTCAGTACCATTTAGTACATTCAATATCCACGCAATACGGATGCAATAGGCGCTAGTGTTGCAACTCAAGAGTACGAAATTTCACAATCTCCATGTCGATCGATCGGAATTGGATTCAAGAGTAAGCCCCCAGGTTTAAACTATAGAATATTTTATCAGGTTGTGGGCGCCGCACACTGCGTGAAGACACTGTTCTCCCAGCCTATTGCCATCACCCTACAGAGCGGGAAGTTCATCATCAGAGAATATGGGAGGTACATATTGGTAAGTAGAAGAAAAATACTTAGGTAATATTGTTCATCTTTTGAAAGTTCAATCTTGTTTTACAAATAAAAATCGCCACAATATCTATCTGTTTTTAAGATACTTAATAAGTACTGTTTATACGATTGTTACCAATAGATAGAGTGACTCTGAACCTTCCTGACTGAACCTTCTTAATAATATTTTAATTGTTATCCTGTATTTGCAGGCAATTGGCAGTGATAGAAACATCCCAGACTGGGTACTTAAGAACCGAGCGAATCTTCTCACCTCCATGATCAAAGTCTACCATGGAGACCTGCAAGTCCTGGCTGAACAGATGGAAGACCAACGCAGACTCTCGGAGAAGCTGTACCAGGTCTTTGAGACGTATCTACCGGTGCTACAGTATGGGTGCCATATCTTTCAAAGGGTGCCTATGTTGACTTTGCCAAAAGTAAGAAGCATTTTATGAATAGGTACACTACCTACTTCCGCGCGGTTTCACCGCTCTGCTTAGCTCCTATTGGTTGTAGCGTGATGATTTATAGCCTATAGCCATCCTCAATCCGCACTATCTAACACAAAAAGAATTATTCAAATCAGACTTGTAGTTACGGAGATTAACGCGTTCAAACAAAAAAACAAACTCTTCCGCTTTATATAATAGTATAAGATAATGGTGATAGCAGCAAAGCATTTTAATTTGTGAAGTGCCTATTATTACGTGGAATTTATATCACATATCACAATATGTGATATCACAATATGTGATATAAATTCCACGTAATAATCAAACGAAGTTAGACATTTTGGCAGTAATGTATAGGTGCATACATGTTTACAATAAGTAGATAATAGTACAAATCCGCACAAATAACACTCTAAAGTGAGCTAAGGCAAACTGACGCGTACTTACCGAGATATCAAGAGACACTCCACCGAGTGTTTGCTCAACACATTTATCGCGCATCCGCAAATATTACAAGTGGAGTTAGTGCCACTGCCCTGTCGCGTTGTATGCTACTGATGCAGTTATAATATGAAATTAGAAGGATATAGGTATACGTAAAGTAAGAAAAAGAAATAAAAAGAGCACATTTGCATTCAAATTAGGAACTTACTATATGTCCCTTAGTAAAAAAAACCTTCAAGATACCATTTCCAACCAAATAAATAAAAAAAATCTGCATATTTTAATTCAAATTAAGAACTTACTATGTGTCCCTTAGTACAAAACCTTCAAAGTACCATTTCCTACCAAATAAATAAAAAAAATGCACATTTTAATTCAAATTAAGAACTTACTATGTGTCCCTTAGTAAAAAAAATCTTCAATATGCCATTTCCTACCAAATAAAGAACACGAATTAATTTTCAGGGAATACTTTCTCAATATTTGACCTTGATTTTCAGAGCGCGACATCAGTTTACATGGAGTCGATGCAAATACTGGAACACTGTAGGAAAAGCAGCGGCGTCTTAGGTGGCGTCATACTGTACAATAATAAGTAAGTTAACATTTTCCTGCCCTTATATCGGGCTAATTGAAGTCGGCCGGAGAATGACAGCTATGCTGATCTTCCATGCTGCCTTACAAGACTCCATCTCAAGCTCGATTTTTCCTGTCGTATCTTTCTTTACTATCCATCCTGACTGTATATAAGTAAAGTGCATTTTAATTATGATATTTACTAGACTAGTCACTAAACAGTTATTCTTAATATCCACAGAATAATCGCCACACAACTGCCTCCCGGTCTCACCTCCTACCTAACAGTTGTGGACCCGTACAGAATAAAATCTCCCGCGGAAACCCTCGATACTGAGACTCCACTGCCACTTGGCGCTCAACTCCTCGTGGTGTACGTTGGAAAGAAGCTCTATGATAACTTGAAGAAACAGGTCGATAAGATACAGGAGTTCCATCAGAACGGAGAGGAGATGATTGCTAAGTTTAAAAAGGTAAGTCAATATGATTTTCTAGAAAATTATACGTATTTTCCAAAGAATACAAGTATACAAGTTAATCGCTGACATAAGTAATCACTTTATTTATATTGTTCTCGTTTTTTAGAGTCAGGAAGTCGAACGCGAAAAACAACGCGAGTTTCCCCAATCCGGTATGAAGAGAGATAAGTCGCTACTCTTCACCGCCGTCCCTGAAGAAGACCACACCATGATATCACCTCCCAGCAGGGAAGAACGCAACCCTGACGAGGAGAGGAAGCCTCCTTCCATGCCAGACGTCGTACCATTTACTAACAAACCAAGACAAAGGCCCACGAAACTATCACTTAGCTTCAAAACACAAAAATCATTGGACGAAGATATCCAAGAAAATGATAAAGTGTTCACAGGACAAACTAGTGTGTGCTCCACCCCTATGGTTGAGTACAAACGACTCCACGGCAACATGCTCTCCATCTGCCAAATACCTGAAAGCCAGCAAGATAACATCAACACGGAATTAGAACCAGACGTCTTAAAAAATATAGAAAACTGCAATAAAATTAATTTGGAAAACGAAAAGCGCGACAACAAAATGGTTTTAGACATAAATTGTATCGCCGACCACTACATCAACAAACCAGAGCCAATCAGAAAGCTCGCCAGTGTCACAGACCTACAAGAGACTATAAAGAAATTGTCAAATCGCGCGACTTCTAAGTTTAAGTTGAAACGATCGAAAGTGTCCCTGAACGATGATACTCCGTCCCCTGAACATACCCCTAAGAACCCCGGCACTATGACCATCAACGATCCATTGTTCCCAGTCTTCAGGAACGATGGTGTTGCCATATCAGAATCCCTTTTCAACCAATATTTAGAACAGCACTATTCGAAAATGAAACAAGACTCCACCGACAATATGTTCACCTTCAACATGAAACTATGTGAGCAGGAAAAGTTTGAGGACTTTGATTCAGAATTAAATAGATCTCCTCAAAGAACTCCTAAGAAGATAGCAAAGGATTCTACGAAAACGTTACCAACGGATCAGTCGAGGAGGAAATCTTTATCTTTACCTTTGAAATCGTTGAATGAAAGTACAGATTCTCAGATAGGGTCAGAGTCAGAGGCCACCAGTTTCAAAAAGAAGTTGACTGGTGTGCAGTTGACACCTTTGATGGAGAAACTGAGTCATTTGGCGTTTTCTGACAAGTCGAGTGGGTACAGTAGTAGGGTTATGACGCCGCTTGAGTTGAGGGAGTTCCTGACGCCGGCGGCTGAAAGGCAGATCACATTTACTGATAGGTACTTATTTTTTGCAAGACTCATGAAATTATTGCCCTCATCGTCACTTCCAATTTTGCTAATCATTTCTAATAAAATTTTAGGCCAAAAACTCAGCAACAGGACTCTGAGAGTGACGATGACTCCGACAGTGACTTGGAGCTGTTACCAGAGTACAGTAAGCACGCCGTCAAGTGCGCGCTGTTTGTGAGCGGACTGCACAACATGGCGCTACTTGCGTTAGTTGACACCGACGCTGCCAATAATGTGGAAACTATTAATACACTGGTATGTTTAAAAATAACTAATTTTCAATGTGAAGGATTCACTTTGGTTCATTAGATATTTAGAATGTTAGTGATATATTGTTGATCCGCCATTCTCCAGATTCGTAACTGGTAAAAAGGTTTATTTTCTGTAGTTTTTATTCACTTATACCAAAGCTAAGAGATTCTAAATATTTTTTAATTTTTCAGTGGGAAACATCTCTAAACGCATTAGGTCCAATAGAGCAAAAATGTATCGAGCCGCTGGCAGCCGTCGGAGACGCGACGGACTACAGTTACTTGACATTGGACCCTGATTGGGGCACCGTCCGCAAAGGTGGGCCATGGGCCGCGCTAGACATAGCAACCATGGGACTCATACATAACGAATTCGCAGAAGATCCTGAAATGTCGGAATTTATATTGAGGTAATTCGTTTTATGATTAGACGACACCAGATCAACCTCGCTTCTGATCAAATCTCTTCACTATACTCGGAATTTTAATTCGATTCCAGATTTGACAATTTCAGTGTTGCTACGTTATGACAAGTACTAAATAGTGACGTTGCGAAATTATTCGATATGGAAATCCGATATTTCTGGATCGATTCTTCTCGTTTATAATTTTACTCCCGTAAACTAAGTATATCAGCAAATTAAATATTTCTGAACCGATAATTTAGTTTTGACGATTAATCAACGATCTAAGACTTTTCTTTTATAATTGTGTGTGAAATAAATAAAAAAATGTAATCATGAAGGAACATGACAAATAAAACAGATAGATGTATTATAGTAATAAGTTATTTTATAAATTGTCGCCGTCATCGCTATCACTATCCTGTCACTTTCTGTAACATTTATTATAAAACACACACAATGATTGTTTATCGATCTTGGTGTTCATCACTACACTATTATATGTGGTATCATTATTTTACAAAATGACAGTAGCTATTGTCAAATCTGGAATCGAATTAAAATTCTGACTATAGATCACAAAGTTGAAAATGTATTGAAAAAGTTAACAGTTGCAGTAGGTTGATGTCCAGTCTTTATGTACAAACAATACAAACCTCTAATTTCAAGACTTAGTCTACTTCCAAATAAATTATGTGCGTAGCTTTTTGTATACCTACTTTCTTTATTTGTTCTTAGTTTTCCGTATTTAGGTACATTGAGCATAACACCTGTCCGATATGGTTTCAGGAGTGACGAGAGCGTAGTAGTGGGGTCTGTATGCGGTGGGGCTCAAGTATATTATCAAGAGAAGGGTCCTCGAGGTGCTGGGCCGCCGCCACCGTCAGATATACTGGCGGCCGCTCCACTGCGCGCGAGACGTCGCCTGCACCGTGATCACGCCACGCTACTCCTGTAATCTTACACATCATACAAGCGTGCTGACTTACAGACACAGGTATAAAAACCATTGTCGTTTGACGTTATCACAATTTAAACTGCATAATTATTATGGCATCAAAGAGAATTCGCCACCTAAATAAAAATGTTACCAAACGGATCGATGTATAAGTCGTTGAAATGTGTTGAAGATTTGTACTGTTTAGAAAAGACTTCCATGGGCATGGCAATGTCAATTTATCAGCAGTAATGAGATTTGCAATGAATTCAACCTAGCAGAACATTTTTAGAGATTATTGTTATGTAGATATATATCAATGGAAAGGGCGTTAATTTCGACGATAATTCTATCATGACTTCACTTGCATCTAAACATGAAGTGTCAGAATACACTTAGACAAAATGATATTACATACTAAACATACTTACCTATATAGTCGAATACTTTGGTAGATTGATAATTCATCCGTAATTTTGTCCTTTGTACAACTGTTGTATTTGTAGCCAATTTGAGACTTGGATCACACCAATTTCATAGTAACTAGTACCAATATTGTTAGTATGCAACTTAGTACACACATAATTCCAAATATTCTATGTAACCAATACCAAATACTGACCCCAATGAAGCTTCACAGTCCCACTCGGTTATTGTTTAAACAACAAGTAGGATAAGTAGCTATCGTATTTACTATAGAACCTTATTATTTCCACATTAATTTCAGCCTATTTAACAGCATATTTTATACAAACAGTAGATCCTAAATAATAAATAACGTACCTACCTAATGTTTTTATTGTGGGTATACTATGAATTTTAAAATATGACAAGTATGAATTACGCGCCTGAACGTACTCATAGTGTCGAGAAAACGCGGTTTTAGGGATTTTTCTACCAAGCGTACGGTGCAGTAAAATGTTGCCCACTATAAAAAAGCTTGTAAATATTGCCAAATTGTTATTTGTAAGAAAAATTAGATGAAGTTTTTTATGAATGTCAATGGTGTCTGTATGAAACAGTTTTGTTTTTATACAAGGAATGCTTATTATAAGCTATTACAATTTTCAGCAGCTTTACATCTGCTGTACTGCGCCAACATGATATTATACACAATACCTGTGCCACTGAAGATGCTGAATTTGACTTGTTTTATATTTTTTTATGACTACACCAAGTAGTATATTATTTGTCATAGTAGTCTCATTAAATCCAATCATGTCAGTTAAATTTTATACTCATTATAATTTTAGTAGAAGTCTGTAGAGATGGTAAAGGATGTAATGAAACTTCAAATCATTTTGGCTTAATTTTATTTACGAAATATGTAGTTATCCGATAGGACATCAGTTTGTGGGTTACGACGGGGGAAAACCATTAGGGTTGTGTAAATCCAGCAGTAATATTTAGTGCATACGTGCCCTATATAGATATTCCTTGCAGTAATGTAGCAACTGCATCGTAGACTAATTGTTTCGAGCTCATTCTATTCTTGCCACTAGAAAATAAGTTATTCGGCCAATTCTAGATTAGTATTGCTACAGAGAATGGTATTGCCAAATTTTATATTTATTTTCTTAGACAGCTAAAAATCTCTAGTCCTTCCAGAATTTATCTTGTAGTATCTTCGCTAAAAGCTGTTCTTTGCTACGAACTGGGAACATAGTAACGTAGTTGAATTTCTGCGATAATGGATTGTAAGTTTTGAGCATGTAATTTTAATCTTTATATATTAATTTGGTAAAGCATTGCAATGCGGAACAAATGTCGATAACTACGATTCATTATCGTATGAAATGATTATTGAAGTGGCAGTTTTGTTTTTTATATTTATATAGTGACAAACTTTATAGTATTTTCCGCCTTAGATGTAAGTATATATTGTTGTAACGTTGCTTGAATAGTACCTAAAGCGTACTTTTATTTAGCAGTATTATATATGCAAGCATTCCAGATGTTAAGTAGTCGTTGGATTTGAAGTCGTACAAAAGCTATATTCATTACTTCTGGAATATTCTCGTATCTCTTCCTAAAGCTGTTCTCAAATAAATTTGACAACGGCTTAGGCAGAACATAAACAGGTGCTATTTGTGCTAAATGTGGCATCACGTGACAGGCTTATAATTCAAGGGTGCATTTATGACAAAAGACATCTTGTTTGTATAGGTAATGAGGCAGACTTCAAATCTAACATACAAATCATATCACATTCCACGTCCCGTAGCTTTAAGTGACACAATTCCGCCAGAAATGAAATCGCGTCCAATGCAATCAAATGCTAAACAAAACGATCATATGTTGCCGTGTATTGTTTTTAATGTTATTTGTATATTTTAAGAGTATTTAAGTTTATCAGCGGTTAGCCTAGTCGCCATGGTGAGTGCCAACACGACACGATTATGTGGTATATTTATAATAATAATAATTATACATAAATATTGTTAAGAATTTTAATAAAAATCTGATAGAGAGAATTTGGTTAATATTATTTTACTATATAATACCCATTCTATTTCTAATACTAATCTTGCATAAAAACTGTAGACTTCATTATGGTTACAATAATAGCAGTTTGGAATACACACTAGGCATTATAACGTTATTTGGAACATCTGAGATGTAGATTGCCTAGTGAGTAACCCATACCCTTACATTATATTCTATTTACTATATTGGTATAATTATAATTATGTGCTTTCCCGAAGTACAGCAATGTGCATTCTACAGTAAGCTATAAGATCAAAGATTTATTAAATATTGCTGCTACAGTTCTTATGCAATAAACTATTTACTATTAATATAACACTAACTAAATGACGTCAATATTACATACATAATTAGGTAGTATAATAAAATAAATACAAAATAAAAGCAGAATATACAGTCTGCCAGGATGTGACGACGCTGACGTCGGACCAGGGAATGATTGGACTCTGTAACCAGGCAGGTAACTCTTGAATAATATGGATTTTAGGATTTGTTTCTACTAATTCTGCTTTCAATTGCAGCAAAGTCACTTATGTTTGTAGGACATTATTATCTATACAAGCCTGTGTTATTCATAGCTTGCAAGAAAAGACACATCATGTTAGCTTGATTTACTAAGTATGACACAATAAGCAATAAGAAGTCGCCTCGATTGCCCTAGACCCTCCGCAGCGTCAGAGAGAAAGGATGCGATGGATAGAGTAGGTGGGACGAACCAAAGTGAATGAAGAAGAACCAATAATGACGTTACAACTATTGTTTTATTAACAAGTCGTACAACAACGCTACGCTAATAACGTGAGATGCCAGACTCGATACAACCGAATACATAATAATACATAATTATGTAACTAGCAAGCAACACGTGAAATGCGAGGTCACGTCGCCAAAACGTTAGAATGTATATACGGTAGTCGGAAGATAAAGAATATGATCTATGCGCGCGCGACTTCTCTCTTCTATGTCTTCGCAAAGCTTGGGCTTCCTACTTAGCGGCTAACTCGATCATATTCTTTTCGCTTCGACAAGCCGGTGCCGTTGGCTGCGACACGTCACGGACGGACGGACGGACGCCCGGCGGCCGGCTGCCGGTCCCGGTTCCGGCGAGCGCCATTTCGAAAGGACTTTTCAATCAAACATTTTCAAAACTTCAACACAGTTAGTTTCAAGGAACTTCATCCTTTACTTCTTGTTTCAATACCTTTTCAAACAAACAAAATCAATATTAGACTTAGTGTTAAATCTTTATTAGAGCTAGTTTTACATCCTAGAGGCAACTATGCCCGCGCGGGCGTTACACGCTAACTTAGTCTAGACCCTTTCATCACATTATAATTAACACAAAGGAGCTTCTCTCTTGGGGCCGCGCGGCCGGCGCACGCTCGGCTGCGGCCCGCCTGTTACAGAATGTATACAAACGTTAACAATACGGCTACCACTACCGGCCAGTACACTACACTATAAATGCATAGAAGCCGGTCGACACATAGTTGGGATCTTTTGCAGTATAAAATGCTATGCTATGTCTGAAGGTGAACTCAGCATCACGAACTTACTAATAACGACCTGCAAAGTCAAAGAGGGGAGTAACTATGTGTTATACCAGAACATTTATTATGGAGCTACGTGTCAAGTGGCAACATTATGTTTCTATCAATTTATTCCATGCTCCACAAATGACTAGTGGATATTACAATGTTTGTCACAGTACCTAGTGAAAATTATATCGCGCAAGGAGCGCGCGATAACAAAGTAACTCAATAGTAATAAATTGAACATGACGATTTACTGTCGGGCCAGTGCTGAGGTGTTTTTACGAGGCAGCTGGCCGCAGCGAGACGTCATGTAATCGCCGTTACATAACAATTGCGGACGCGCATGGATTATACAGTAAATGATTCAGAACTCATGAACCAAGCCCAATATCAAGAGAATAAATTGATAGAAAAAATATATATTAGACATTTAAAAACTTATTCTTAAATTAAACTAAAAGAAAAACAAAGATTCAAAGACAGACCCCACTTCATACAATCACAAACATTATATACAGAAGTTTTGGAGTAATTTACCAATTTATATTATGGAAGAGCAATGTTTGCCCATTCTTTGGTATATGAAAAAGGTATCTTTGAATAAGTACAATTGCTTGTTTTGCTAAGGTTTGACCCTTACACATCAAAATGTATTTCAAGTAATTAGAATCTATTGAAATTATAATGAATAGAAACTGAGTGCACTGACTCAAGATAACCTATATTAACAAAAGAACGAATAATGACTTGTGTCAAAAATAAAACAAAAAAAAATATATATTATACAATATTTGTACAATAAAGCTTGAGCTTCAATAGTCATACAAAGTTCTCACATAAGGGGCACAATTAGCAAGTAACAGGGCTACTAAAACTATAACAAACTTGACTATCTTCAGTTTAAAGTATTGGTTAAATTCTGTAAAACTTGATGGTACACTCCTTTCATCCAATTAATATTAATCTATCTAAATTCACTATTTACATTGTTAATTGACTCTACACAGCCAATAGAAGCCGTTATACATATTGCTATCGAATTTACACAATTATCGCGTATGGCACGCTATTTGCAAACTTATGATTTTTAGCATTGGCCCCACCACTTGGGGACTTGCTTCGACATATCGGTGCTTACACTCAAATATTTATCGAGTTGTGATAGAGAATAAGAAAATTGTCACATCGTGAATTCATCAATTACATCAATTTGTATGCACATTAATTTCTTTTATTACAATTTTGTAATTACTTTCAGCCCACCACCACAGAGAATGACTACAATTCAACTAGCCTTTATTGTTGCTAGTAATGTCTCCAGAGTTAAAGTAGCCCTGTATGTTTGAACCCGACAAATTAGTTCACCACTACCACAAAATGTCCTAATGCACAAATAGATAGTTTAAAATAAGCAGTAAATATTTCTGAATATCTATTAAGCCAACAGTCTGGAACAGTAGTGGGCAAACCACAGCTCGCAAAAAAGTATATAACGCCACCATCGTCAGCCAACAGTGAATGTGTGGTTCCGGACAAGTAAAATAAAAGGGGTCCAGGAATCAGGTCGACTAGCAGAGTTCTTCATTACATTGACAGTTGCGAGGCCATGAGGTGTTATTTTTTGCCATAAACTAATTCATCAGTAAATTGTTTTTGATGAAAGTTTGCTCATCACTGGTCAAGAGTGTGTGTGATTGGCATGTCTCTAGCAGCTTCTTGAAAGTTGACCTATGATTTTGCATCTTAATGTGCAGTTTTAAATGTGCTGGCTAATAAATTCACTGGCTTACACATTTTATTTGGAACTTGTATGCCACTGGATAAATTGTAAAAATATGTAAATAAGATTGTAAGGAGATTTTATGGTGAGTGGTTAGCTAGAATGGGGCTGGGTTAGGAGTGGAAGCCTATCGCTCTTGGTGGTAATAGGACTTACGCGGCGAGTAGGAGCGTTCTCGCTCGTAGCGCCGGCGGCGGTAGTGCGGCGACGGCGACCGGTGCCTGTAGCCGCGGTGGTAGTAGTCGCGCTCGCGGTAGCCGCCGCCTCCGCGGTAGTAGTAGTCGCTGGGGACAACATTCTCGTTAATTCCGACATCCACATGACGTAAGCATCAAAACTATCAACTATTTAAAATTATTCATTATTAGGAAACTAGCAAAGCTGGAGCTCTAACATTTGAATAAGCTTCAAAATTTAATTTTGTTTGCAAATATCGAACAATACTTACTCCCTGTCACGACGTCTGTCGTAGCCGTTGTCGCCGCCTCTGCTCACACTGTAAATTAAAGTCATGTTTAACCTGTGCCTAATTT